CCGCAACAGACTTATAAAAAGTCCATATTGGAGGATCGGGTTGCACGACGCAACAGACTTATTAAAAAGTCTATATTGGGGGATCGGATTGCACGCCGCAATAGACTTATTTAAAAATCAATATATACTTGATTAAAAATAATTATATGAGAGGATTGAAAATGAATATATTGTGGAAGCGGTTTGTTCGCTATAACGGAAATTGGTTGAAATAATAATGGATTATGACTGCTGAGTTGGCTTCAATTATTATAAATAAGCTACCTCATTTATTTCTATTATTTATTGTTATTACTAATATTGCGTACATGTTAATGTAAGTGAACCACCTTAGCCTTGTCACTACTATATCGAGGTTAGGCTCAGCACTTACCAGTACATGGAGTCGGTTGTACTGATACTACACTCTGCACTTCTTGTGCAGATTTCGGAGTTGGTCCCAGCGGCGTACCATAGACTTGCTCGGATTTCAGCTACTCAAAGGAGACTTGAGGTATAACTGCACAGCGTCCGCAGTTCTGAAGTCCCCGTCTACTTTACTTTAGCTGTATGTTTATTTCCAGACAGCTTTATTTTATTCAGACCTTTATTTGTATTATTCTAGAAGCTCGTGCACTTGTGATACTAATTCTGGGATAGTATTTAGACACCGTTGTTTTTATGGATTATTCACTATATTTCAGACCTTACTTCCGCATTTGTTCCTTTGTTATTAATAAATTTAAAAATTGTTTAAAAATAGTTAATATTATTCTAACGTTGGCTTGCCTAACAAGTGAAATGTTAGGCACCATCACGATCCGAAGTTGAGAATTTCGGATCGTGACAACATCACTAGTCCTTATAAATTATTTCAAATCTTTTTCTATTTCGAGGTAGGATTGAGTAGATTTGTTGCAAGGGGTATGATTATAACATACGAAATCTGTTTGGAAATCAAGTTTAAGCCTTAAGTATTCTAGTGGTTTTTAATTAAAGGAAGAAAATCTTCTTGGATACATCATGAAAGTCTGCGTTAACCAACTGCTCTCTACCTTTTAATTCATGTGTCTTATTTTGACTCGCAGTTTAATAAAAAAAGAAAATTTTTATTTTAATATATCATAACATTTGTGTGACTAAATCTTTTAAAGCTTGTGAACTTAAACATATTACGGCATTTGTGTGGCTAAACTTTTTATTAAGAATACAGTAAAATGAAAAGTTTAAAGTTTAATTGATTTCAAATATAAAAGTATGTTATTTTTTCGGAAAATGACTTACGAGGAAATAGTGATATATAAATTGGGAATGTAAAGCCTAGTTTGATTTTTTTTTTTTTTAAGTCTCTCAATTGATCCCTTTAATGATGACGCCGAAATAAAGAAAATTCTTTCAAAAGAAACGGGAATAAAATTTAAATTTTTTGTACACTTGCAAGACTAATGAATCTTTTGAGGACTACACTGTCGTTGGCCTCATGCTAGCTCTAGCTCGCTAAAACTCTTCCAACAAAGGAAAAAAAAAAACAACTAAACTATTAAGTAAAATCCTAAGCTAATTCTAACTGAGTGTGTGATACATCGCAATCAATAATACTCCTATTTTTCTACCTCAATTTGATTGTTAGATGTAACACCTTCACGTTGGAGAGATTCAATCCTTATTATGATTTCTTGAATTCCTGGTGCTGATGAGGTACTATTACTTGCTAACTCAACTGTAGTAGAACTCCCGCCGTTAATAATTTTTTGGCAGGTTTCAATAAGGCAGTTCCTACAAGTAGGGCAAGAAGAGTGGGAATTCAGCCATTTATCGATACAGTTGACGTGGAAGCCATGATTGCACTTTGGCAGAACCTTAATTCTCTCTCCAACTCCAAATTCTGATAAGCAAATTAAACACTCGGAGTCAAGCCCTGGATGTTTCAATTCAGTAGTGTAGGTTATAACCGGGAATGTCTTGAGGGCTTTTTTCTTGATTCCTGTATTAGCTAGCTTTGCTGCTGAAGGATTTCTATAGTTTGAGGATGAGTCTGACGCTAATACCAAGCTGCTGGAGCATTTTAATGCACACTTTATGATAGAATTTAATGCAAGTGAACAAATCAAGGTACATACAAGTACTGACAAGACCATAATAACATTTGCATCAAATGTGTTGACGTGACTGATTTCGGCCGCCGGTGGCGGCGCCATGGTGGCCTTCGGGTAGTTTTGTGGTACTGTAGTTGGTATTAGAAGTAGTCTTCTTGAGTAGTGGAAGTTCTCAGTGAATTCTTGAATGAATAGAGTGGAAGTGGTTGCCATATAGAGCTTTTGGTTGGAAGTGTGTATTTGTGTTTTTCTTTGAATTGTTTCTTCGTTTGTTGTTGTTGAATGAATTGAAGTTTCCCTTGGAGGAGTTCCTTATAAAGGGTAAATTTAAAGGGTGAACAGGTGTAAAGTGTGATCAAAGGATAAATTATTTTATTTTCTTTAAGGAATATTTCAAAGTATCAAGCCATGTTTTAATTTTAATTAATGGAGTAACTATGTTTACAAGCACTACTGCTTTTAAGAGTTTGTTATAAACAAGTGGAGCCGAGCCCGTGTAACTTTTTAGAAGTATATCCGCTCAAAGAGACATTGTTTTAATTACAAGGTTATTAAATTAAAGTAACAATGAACGTTCCAATCAAAACTTAAAAAATTACTAGTAGTATTCAGTTGTTATTATTTACACCTCCGCTGTACATATACACAACTAAATTTTTATTATAGATTTTAATCATTTTTGTTAGAACTTTTAGTTTGGTTATGGAACTTGTCCAAAAGTTGTGGTGGGCATAAACAATTCCATGGTTTATATATATCAAGTTAAGAGCTATTGGGTACCTGGTTGGGAGCTTTGCTTGCCTCCTTTTTTGGTATAATTATTTATTTTTATCAAGAACAATATCATCTTTTGGGATTAATATGTTGCACGTAGCAGTTAATATTGATTGTGCCTGTCATAATTTCATATTGATTGAGATTGTACTGATTATTAATATAGGAAAAGTGGTACCAAATGGTTGAAAAAGTACTACTTGGGTCTTGTAAATATAAATTTGTAATCCATATATTGGCTACGTTTTGATACGTGTGCTTCAGCTTTTCCTCTTTTTTAAAAATAAATAAATTATCTGAGTGTTTTCATATCAATTTTAGATTCCTAGTGCATGACCAAATCTTCAGTTAGGCACTTAAGTTCCATAGTCTATTAAATAGTTCATGTTGTTCGTGATTTTACCTGATCATCATATCAATCCCATTTAGGATTTAAAAAAAATTATTTTTTAGTAAATTTATGGCCACAGATATATGGATGTCCAACGCATTACGAAGTCTTGGGATTATAACCTTATCAAATGAAATAAAACCAAGTGGAAAATAGTTCCTGTTTGCATGATAGTAAAAACTTGAAACCATATCTTCCCCTTCAATATTTGTTACCTTTTTAGCTTTTCCACTAGCTCTTTTTGTAAGTAATCCTGTAGATTCCGTGCACTAAATCATATCTTTGCTTAAGCTTTTTAGTATTTAACTATTCCCCATTTGCTTGGAATTTTGGAGAGATTACTCTCTTGTTGGATCAAATGTTTGCTTCTTTCTACTTTCATTTTGATTGATATATACCTTTCATGTCTATCTTTAATATGATCTTTAGCCGTAAAGTAACAATTTAAAGGACAAATCAATTTCTTTGTATATACTATCATGAGCTTTGGTTTTGTTGAAGACAGACAGATCGAGGAAACTATGGTTGTCTTGTCAACATCATATGTAATTAAGCTGATTGTAATTATTAATTAATGAGAAGTAATGACAGCATGTTAAAGAAAACTTGAAACAACAATATAAATTATATTTTCCTATTGTATCTTTTTTATTTCTCCTACTGTACTGCCACTACTTGTCAAATTTTGTAAGTAATCATATAGATTCCTAGTACAACAAAATCTTAGTGTTTAGCTGGTTCCCATTTAGTTGAGAGTACCTTTAATTTCTAGTTTTGAGTTGATTTCTGGATTAAGATAGAATAATCGAGTGGCTAGTAATAAGCAACAACGTTGGCTTTAGGTAGAAATGATATGTAATTATTAATGGGGGAAATACCAACAATTAATTGTTTCCAATACCACCTACAGTTCTAAAACGTATCATCCAATTACTATGTGACCTTTTCTCCAGTGTGCTTATTTGCTTTTTCCACTTTAAATTTTCTGTAAGGTAAGCAACTCCACGGTTCTGAAAAGTTCAGATGTCATATGTAAATAAAAAGTGAAATAATAGAAATTAAGATTTAATTAAAAGAATATTACGCGGAAGAAGAAGCAACTTTACACTTTATTACAAAGAGAAATGAGTTGTGGCCAGGGCGGATGCACCTTGGCCGCTTAGTCGTAAATTTTTAATAAATATATATTTCTAATTAATATGTAAATACTTCATCAGTTTCGATTTATGTGAACATATTTGATTGAATACGAAATTTAAGAAAAAAGAGAAGACTTTTAAATTTGTGGTGTAACATGCACATATATTATGTGTGGCTATAAATCATTGTATAAAAGTAAATTGTTTTTAATTAGAAAAAATGATCATCCTTTTTTGCACGAATTAAAAAGAAAATATGTTTACATAAATCGAAACGAAGAGAGTACAAGATAAGATTCAAAGGGCGTAAAAGTACAACACTTGAGGCAACTTGTTTTTCAGCTTGCCTGGTTGTGTGCCTCACAATTTTTATAGAGGTCGTGAGTTCGAATCTCTAGCAGCTTGAACGTTATAAAATTTTGAGCGCCATCCAATGGACAAAAAGTTCCGCTAAAATATATTTTAGCTAACTTAAAACCCTATTCTAAAAAAACTACTCATTCTCTACAATTTGCAATTTCTGAAATTTGGGCATGCTGCTTGTGTTTCCATTATAAGTCACCTTACTACTTTTTTCTTTCTCGACGATAAAGTTGAGTAATAGTACTAATTTACTGAATCAAATGGTTGTTGATCTTTTGAATGGTTATTTAGTGCCTTATAAAAGAAATTAATATTATTTCTAATGAAGTTATTATAAATAAATTTCAAAAAGTGAATACTCTGAATAGACTTATAGTAATATACTCGAATTGTATTTTATTATTATAATATGTTTTGTTAATATGACGTCGTTATATAAAGATTTAAGAAAAATCACTTTGTTGCAAGAGTATTACTTCACCTATATAAATTACCAGAAAAGCATTGCCATAATCTGTTGGTAGATAATATTAATTACACTTGTTCCTCGTTCATTGCGTAATGATTTTCAAAGGGTTTATAATACTCTCGGCCCATTCGCACAGTCTTAATTTTATTTTGGATTAAATAATTATATTTTTTCGCATGATATTAGACCTAAACTTTAGTGAGCCCATTTAATTGGAATCCAGAACCCATTTGTGGTTCTTTTTGACAAAAAGAACGGAAATGCATGTAAAAAATAAGAGTTACCTAACTATGTATAACGCTCTTTTAAAGAGCGCTATACTTTAACAGACGTTTTGGATGTTAAAGTATAGCGCTCTTTAAAAGAGCGTTATACATATAACGCCTTTAGAAACAACGCTATATATGTATAGCGCAGTTATAAAGAGCGTTATACCTGTTTTGTGGGCCCACCAATGTGATTTCATGTTATTTTGTATTTTTTAAGATTAAACTAGTATGTTATTTTTATCCGGACTAAGATATTAATGTTCTAAAAAAATATGTAAAAATTGAAAAATTATTATTATTTGTTAATAAATTTCTTTTACTGTTTTATATGTATTTTTGTGAATTTTTTGTGATTAAATTTATTGTTATTTTTATCTAGTTTAGATTATTTATTTGCTTAAAGACTAGTAATATAGTGCCATTTTAGCGTAGTAAAATGTAGAGCCTTTTAGCGTAGTATCCCTGTAGTTTAAGTATCTCTTTTATTGATAGATCAAACACAAACTCTGTCTAATTTACAAAAATTAATTATTTAATTTACAAAACAAACATATAAAATTATGAAACTAACATGTAAAATATTAAAATTGACACATACAAGAATCCAGGATAGCTTGGTGCTACCGGACCTCAAATATCGAGCCTGAAACCCATAGATATATACTCTGTCCAATTAAATATTGTAGAATTATAAAAAATAATTATTTAATTTACAGAACAAACATACAAAATTATGAAAATAATAAAATTGACACATACAATAATTCAGGATAGCTTGGTGCTACTGGGCCTCAAATATCGAGCCTCGAACCCATAGATATATACTCTGTCTAATTAAATATTGTATAACTTTAAAAATTAATTATATAATTTACAGATCAAACATACAATTAATGTTGTTTAATTTACTGTAGACGACATGGACGTGCCGCCTATGCATCCCGGACCTTTCTCCGATGAGCTATTAGTGTTACAGGGCGATCATAGGCCCGTCTACGTATGGAAGGGATAGTTACTAGCCCAGACTTTCCGCGCCAGGAGAGTGGACGACATGTGAGATTTTATGAAGGACAGAGATCTCCATCCCCGTGTAGTCCAGCGCCTGCGGGATACGGGCTTCTACAGGATTTTGGAGATCGGGCGGTGGCAGCTTGACTGGTCTTTGGTCACGGCTCTGATTGAGCGGTGGCGACCGGAGACGCACACATTCCACCTGCCCATTGGCGAGACCACCATCACGTTGCAGGACGTGGAGATTTTATATGAGATGCCTGTTGATGGACTGCCTGTTGCACTGCCTCAGGCCATTAGAGAGATGACGCGTGGGCAGTATTTGGACATGTTGCAGCAGCTCACTAGTTTCATGCCACAGGATGAGACTGCACACTCAGGGGCCGGTCGCATGAGTTTGACAGCTCTTGAGAATTTAACAAGAAGAAAAATTTAAACGGAAGTTAGGAATATTTTTGAATAGATTTTTGTAAAATCCTAATGCCTTTAAATAAGGTAATGCCTAGCTCGGGGGCTGAATTTGTTTTAGGTATAACGCTCTTTTAAAGGGCGCTATACCCATTTGAATTATTATTATGTCAGTTAAACGCAGGAGACTTATTGGTGGGCCCACAAAACAGGTATAGCGCTCTTTATGTTGCGTTATACATATATAGCGATGTTTCTAAAGGCGTTATATGTATATCGATGTTTTTAAAGAGCGTTATACATAGTTAGGTAACTATTTTTTTTACACGCATTTTCGTTCTTTTTGTCAAAAAGAACCACAAATGGATTCTGGACTCCATTTAATTGCAACTACTCCCTCCGTTCCAATTTATGTGAACCTGTTTGACTGGGCATATAATTTAAGAAAAAATAAAAACTTTTGAAATTTATGATCCTAAACAATTCAAAAAGTGGT